TATGAATTTTCTATTTCGGAGGGCTGCTGAGGGGTGGTTTTTGATTCACAAATTATTTCACCCCATAAACCGTATACAACAGGTCTAGAATTATCCATTTCCATAAAAAAATCTCATGCAACGGGAATTTCAACTGATTTATGATCTTTATACTTCGGAGGGTTGCTGAGGGGTAGTTTTTGGTTCACAAAATATTTCACCCTACAAAGAGTAGTCAGCAGGTCTAGAATAATTCATTTCCATCAAAAAACATCGCGCAACTGTAATTTCAACTGATTTATGAATTTTCTATTTCGGAGGGTTGTTGAGGGGTAGTTTCTAGTTCACAAATTATTTCATTGTATGGAGGGTGTTCAATTAGTGTAAAATTATCGATTTACATAATGAAATCGCGATTAAGGTATCTCCCAACTGTCTCACGATTTTTCTGTTATGTGGGGTGGTTATGGGGTGGTTTAGAAATCACAAATTATTTTTTTGTTAGGAGCCTTTCTCAACTTCTTCAGGTTAGTGGACTTGTGTAGAAAAATCTTGAGCGAAAGAAAAAGTCCTTCCTCCATATACCATAAATGAAGTTGAAAAACCGTTGCCAGAAAAACCGTTGCTGCTTTCACACCCGTGAATTTATTCATATTAAATTCAAGGTAGGTATTCTCAACATACAGGGAGTAACATGAGTAAGTTCAAGTGAAGTATTCCTGAGACCATTTTAAGAAATAAAGTCTTTATAAGCTTGTGTCCGGAAATGCTTCATTTCGGAGATACAGGGTGTTGAAATACAGAGAACAAATCATTTTTCGATAAACATTCCATAAAAAAAAAGTAGTTTAGGAGGTTTAGGATCGATTTAGAAAATATCTCCAAAACGATAACCCCCAGCGTAATTGAGGCCCTTATAATGATTCCCTTGATACATAAATAACTATTCACTTTTCACTGTTGAATTTTGAATTTGATCGTCACCAAAAACGCCATTCAATAATATATCACGTTGTAGTTTCCTTGCTTTTCTTAGTTTTGTTTTAAAATTTTCAATTTCATTATGTAATTTTCGAGGTAATTTTACGATCATTTCCTCTTTCCATGATTATTTTGTTCTGTATTTTGTGTGTTGATAATAATGAAGTTCTGTTCTTGAAATCGTCTGCTTTGTAAATTGATGGAACAGCAGATTCTCACGAAATAGATTTTGAAATCTTCTGTTTGAAACTGGGCCTAAAATATAGTTTCATTCTAATCAGATGCTGTTATATAAGAAGTGAATTTTAATGAGTATCTCACAAATTTCGCTCGTCTTCAAATTGATTTTCCACCCAGGCCGTTTCACATCTTCCTTCCATAAGCAAATGGTTGATATTTGTTTTGAAAAATTGAATAAATGATATCCATTTTTTTCAGAATTGGTACAATTTATTACACAGCAAGCGATTTCCATAGTTGCTTTTTTTTCGAAAGTATAATTATGAAATTTCATTTCAATTCTGACGTTTATAAAATTTATTGTCAAATTCAAACAATTTTGAATGAAAAAGCGCAGGACGACTGTGGTGCTCTTGTCACAATGCAAGGTGTGTTACTTAATAAATCTAAACATCCCTATCCGTTGTCATTTCTGTGTCCGAACTATTATCAAACTAATAACATTCAGTGACTCTAGTTGAGTCCAAACATTTTTGAAGTCTATATCTATACCCGAGTCTATACCCAACAAATGGACACACTGTACATGCTTTTTAATCGGTCTGTGGCTTTATTTTTGCGTCTTCAAGACACTAAAACCATCTATGAAATTTGAAAGCATTGGTGTACAGATTCTAAAAAATTACTTCTGCTTGTCCATGTCCAAGTATAGGTATTCGCTGTCATTGTTGAATGAAATTTTACTGTTCACGCAATTTTTGTATTGAATTCGACCAACGGAAGGAAGTAGGAAGTAAGCTTCGTTTCCTCTCGAATAGAAAATGGTAGGTATAATAGGCTTGTATGAAATACCCCGCCCTGTACGCACGTGACAACTTATAAAATCCAATAGGAAATTAGGTTCGTCAATGATTATTGGAAATATTGAAAATTCTTCGGTTTATTTCGGTTTATTCTGCATAGTGGAGTAGGTACATTCTTTCAAACGCATTATTTTAATGTTCATATTACGAGGCATATTATCAAGGATATTATCAAATTTCGAAAAATTAGGAAATATGTTCTTATTCGTCTATTTTTTAGAGAAATAAGATAATCATTGTTAAAATATTTAAAAATATCACAAATTCATATTCTGAATCATACTATGATATAAAAATCCAATGTGTATATTATAATATCCACAATCAACACATCAAGATACATGATTGTATTTATTGATTTTTACTCAATCTATAGGTTAGGTATAAAACTTTTGTTAATCATTGATCAGAGGTTAATAGCCCAACCCAAGCGTTTGCTTTCGGCGAGATGACAAGTACCGGAAGTATCAATTACTTTCGCAATGTTGCCGGACGTTCAATAATAGTTGAAAGATGTTCGAAGATGTAGTATGGTGGGAGCGTACATTTTTTGAAAAATTTTCAAAACTATTTTTTCTTGTGATTTATCGTGTCACCTCATTTTATTCATCATCCCAATTTCGGAAACACCCTAGTATCTAAACTTTTCCCCAAATATGACAATAGTACTCGGATTTAAATACTTGTAGTGTGACCACATGATTTTCACACTGGTCCATCGGATATTATCTTTTGACGAGGCCGAAATATTCACGGAAATATTGACGCTCTGCCACTAACTTAGATCAGTTTGAATCGTGGCACGTTTGGATATTCGCGAATGGAATATTTTGCCCTTACATCTGCTTTTTGTTTCAACTCGTTATCACATGACGGAAGTATGTCCGGAATAATAGAAGCAAACTCGGAAGCAAATAAATCGCCACTCCCGTATGGGAATTTCAGTTTTGGAGTGTTTCTTTCCTTCGTTTCAACTCATATGGCATTGCTTTCATATTGTCTATGAATATTGGGGGAATATAATGCCGACTCGATTTTTGTTTGGCTAGGCTACGCTTAGTCGGCGGTCTTAGGACTGCTGGCTGGAGACTGCCCTGCACTGATGAGTCAAAGGGCTCGAAACCGGTCTGTAGGTGTCTAGCGTGGCCTGGCTAAATCGAAATCAATAGGCATTCAGGAAAGATTCACTTGTAGGTATCAGTATTCGTTTATACGAGTCGATGCATAGATTTCGGGAGGAGGTAATTCCGAGGGTAATTCAATGTTCTGCGTGGCATTAGCCAGGAAATTATTTGTTTTTTTCCCGAAATCTACCATTGTTGTTTATTGTGTGGATATGACTGACCTTTTTTTATCTATATAACATTTAATTCCACTTCGAGCATGATGGCTGTTACGTAGTTTTATAATTGTTAATGTTCATTATATGATCTCATTAAATTTTCAAAATACAAGGTTCTCTCGATGGAATTATGAGGATAATAATAGTCGGGTATTTGTAGGGCCTACTCTATCTCACCGGGCCGTAGTCTATCCCCTCTACCTCGATGATGACGTCACACTAGTAGGTTGAGATTTCACATCATTTCATATCGGTGCGTTCGTAATTGAAAGGTTATAGCTCATTTACTTAAAAAATTAGAAGCACACTCAATCAAGACGAATTGATCCCCTATGCAATATCCAAAAGTTCAAAAAAAAAAAAAAAAAAGAAGGATGAACCAGTACCGATTTATGATTAATGAAAATCAGGACGTTGTACCACGGAATACTATTTTTTGCCAATTTGGAATCGGTTTAAAATGAAACTGAAAAAATTATTGAGCTACCTACACTGAGTCCGAAATAAATTAAAAATAAACATCGCGTAAAATTTTGTCTAGTATTATACCTACCTAATTTCTCCGTATTTACGATTTCGCGGTTATTCCCTATAATAGGTAAAGGGTAATGCACGAGTTCCAGTTGTGGGTCTTTTGATATTTTGAAAACTATATTGAATATTGTGTTGAATAATTAGGTATTACATATGAAATATAGCGGGATTCAGATCAGAAAAGAAGAATCATCAGTCTTTCCGAATGAATATGAAGCTTTGAGCCCATTTTTCAGTTTGTGATATATATATTTTGTTATAAGTACATGTTATTTTCTTTTATTATGTTGAATATTTTCCGAATGGCTTCCGTTCAGTATTGTGTGTATGAGAACTAAGTACATATTTTTTGTTCTTTTTATTTCTCATATTTTGAAAATGTTTTCAAATCAATTCATCTTCATTAATTATTTCTAAAATATATACTCCATAGCTGAAAGTAACTAATTCGCTGTCAGGGTTTTTGTAATTTCTAACGTCATCAGAGTGTGTCCAGATTATCTTTAGACATAAACGCTGCTAAAATCCTCTGAGATACAGTAAAAGTGTGTCATTTGGATTTGTAGGCAATGAAATTCACTACAAAAAAGTCAGTGACAGCATATATCCACAACTAAAAGGTTTAGCATGGGGGCCGTCTAAACTTTTTGAACTAGTTTGTAATCATCATTTGAATCACCATTTTACTCGAATTGAAATTTCGTTTTATTATTGGCTCTTGGGAATTTTGAAAATGATTACAGTCAATTTAGATACTATGAAAAGCCTTTGCATGGTTGAATCATTTCTGTGAATTGAATATTGAAATTCTAGCAGCTGTTTAAAAAACGACAATTCTGAATGTAGTCAATTCATTCTGATATGCTATATTTCTTGAACTATCAATCGTAAATCAGTGAATATTGAGTCATCTCTTGAAAAAGTTTAGTCTTTACATATTTCATCTCTTGACATTTTTTGATAACTGTTACCGTTGTCCCGTGGTAAATCAATGAAGTGTGACGTCATGAGAGCGATGCTCCGGCCCGTTGATATAGAGTAGGCCCTGCTATTATTTGTCATAGCCCCGGGATATTACGAATATTTCCGATCCCTGCTCACTGGTCCTTCTGTTGTTCCAGGCGGAATCCGAGGTGGCCGCCCTCAACAGGCGCATCCAGCTGCTGGAGGAGGACCTCGAACGGTCGGAGGAACGTCTGGCCACGGCCACCGCCAAGTTGGCCGAGGCCTCCCAGGCGGCCGACGAGAGCGAAAGGTTGGTCCTTCTAGCCGGCGAGATTCGCGTCCGCTCGACGAGCGTATGGTGTGATAGTCGCGGGAAAGCGCGAATTCAATACTACGCCTCACGAGTCCGTAGGACGAGTAACTTTTCCTGTCAGTTCTTTGGGTTTAATTTCCTAAAGGCAACAAAATTGGAATGGATTTTTCAATTTCTCCACTCAAAGACACCAAATCCAGATTTCCACAGATTTGACAACGCAATATTGAGAAAAATTTACCTAGTCATCAAAATTCGTTCACAATTCATCATTCAGTGCTCTTTAAAAAATATACTATTTCCGTGTAGGAGTTTATTTATCACTGAAAAACTTGTGGCAAAGTTCTTCTGCTGTCAATGACAAAATCACAGAGGCTTATGGGTTTTTTATACTGAATTAAATTTTCAAAGTTATTAACTTATTGTGGCCGATAGAGATCGACTATTTCAATCACGTTTTATTTCAGGATTGGTCGTGAGCAAAGCTCTCGGCCGGACATTTTTTGTAAACTTGTTTCCGCACTTCCGCACGGATTATATGTTGCACCCTGTCTTTTTTGCGTGCTGTGTCTAGATGCTTCAATTCAAGTAGTATTGAATTCGTGCCACGGAATACCGGACATTTTGACATGCTAGACGGTTTTTTCCAAACGCGATTTGGAGACCTGGATTGTTGTCGGGAACTTGTTAATTCGCAAAGTATCATCAAATTATAACTTTTTTTTTTGTAATAGGAAAATTGCTCGAATGTATCTTCGATAAATGTAACCAAAGAAAAAAGGAGACCTCAATTTAAACACATTCCGATTCCTCCGAATAACATTAAATTCAAAATTTCTTGTGGTTCTTTGTTTGAAATTTCTCAGAATTCATTGAACTTCTTTATAAGTTTCTTTGAAATCTCATGGAATTACTGAAAATTACTCTTTTTTCTGTAACACTTGGCATTTCTCTTCTAGCATCTACGTTTGCTAAATTCTCTCAATATGGTATAATTTAATTGATAACATTTCTGTTTTAGTTTATAAAAGCAGATATCAATTACATTCAAACTGCACCGGTTTTGCTTGAGATCTGGGAAATCAAAAGAATTACTAGAAATGTCCTTGGATTTTCATGGAATTCTTGGGATTCCCAGGAAAGCATGGTTTCTTCATTTATATGAAATGTTTGCCATTCTTTGTAATTTTTCAGGTCTCATTGAAATTTCTTGTAAGTTCTTTGAAATTTCATGAAATTTATAAAACATTTCTTGAATTTGTTCTGTGATCACTATCTTGTTTCTTGTAATTTCCTGATTATTGCACATACCTAATTTTTCTCAATTCCATTGAAATCTGGAATTGTTTGGAATTTCTTGGGATTCTGGGATTCTTTGGAATTACTTTCTGTTTTTTGAAATTTCATTCAATTCAATTTTTGAATTAAAAAATATAGAAACTTCTGAATTTTTGAAAGTTCTTGTCATTACTTTTTTTGGATATTGCATGGATGAAATTCCTTGGCATTTTACTCTGAATTTTCCAAATATGTCGAATCAAATAATACAAAAAAATGTTTTTCCTTGAGACATACTGAATATATGATATAATAAAATATGGTCATTTATGTCAAATTGGAAAAAAATTGCATGTCGACTCGGAAGTTTTTCAATACTATCACATCATATTCTCGAATCAGCTTTTTGATGAACAGTGGGGCTATCCTAGTTAAAAAATTGTTGAATAACTTTCAGTGGCACACAGTTTGATTTTTTTTTAAATAAAACCCCTTGCAGAATCTTGTATACATTTGAGTTGTTCTCATATCATAATTTTTCAAACTCGCATATTCGTCACAATCTAGTTGAATTTGTCTTCATAAAAATTGAATTCAAATTCAGTGATTTTCAATAATTAACCTGAAAATAATAATGATAACATAATTTGACTGTTTTCTTAATAAAATCATGTTAATTATCGATTTGATTAAAAAAATAAACACTCATTTTCTGGAATAAATGAAAAAAAATTGATTTATATTTCAGTTTCTAGTATTACCTCTAGATTGAATTCAAAAAACACATTTTTTGTTGCCAATTTCTTCAATATCAATATCAACACTAATCAGGATGTGACATCATCAACATAATCAGATACTTAGACCTTCTCATCTCGATTACAGTGATAGCAAACCAGAAAGCAAATCTTATTTTTATAGTATGGTCAATAATCTGTAAAAATGGTTACTTCATCCTGCAAAAGATTTCATCATCAATAGTCATCATAAAAAATGCAAATTGATTTGAGGTTCTTGTCTTTCATGTACTTGATTCGATAGCAAATTCAATATTTTAATAGCATGGTCAATATTCTGAAAAATCGGAAAAGATTTAATCATCAATCGTTCATATTTTCCCATCCGATGAATTGGAATAAATTTGTCTTCAAATCAATAATTGGAAATTGATTTCTTAATTGTTAGAAACCGATCTTATGTTTAAATTTACGCTGATTAAATTTTGTAATGGATAGTCTCACTGGCTCACCCCCCGTTTTTCATCCCCCTCGAATAACCCACCTCGTTGTTGTGTGGTGTGCTTGACTAAATTCCCACTAATATTCCCCCCCGACCAGGATACGCAAAGCCCTAGAAAATAGGACGAATATGGAGGACGATCGCGTGTCATTGTTGGAGCAGCAATTAGCCCAGGCCAAATTGATCGCCGAGGAGGCAGACAAAAAATACGAAGAGGTATAGAACCCGCCTCCTTTGGTGTTTTATTAACTGCCGAATTGAAAAAAGTGCACAGACGAAAATATTGTTTTTTTTATTGGTGATTGTAGCGCGTGTTTCGTCTGTGCACTTTTTTCTGGAACACTTTGTATACGTTTATGTACAATTGAGTTAGACTGTGAGGGTGCCCGCGAAATTCGAGATGTACAAGGTGCTACTGAAATATAAGAATAGTACCATATCAGGTGTTTCAAATTTGAAAAATGTTCATTCCTTGATTTTTATTCCCAAAGGGCAGAGGTACTTTTTTCTACAGACGTCAAAAAATGATAAGGTTCGCGCATTGATAACAAATTGCGAAGTGAAACTTTTTTTTCAGTTTCCTACGTTACCATGATACCTTGCACAAAACAATGCGCGAAGTAAAACAGTGCGCGAAGTACCTACTTCGCGCATTGTTATGAAAAATATATGAGATATTTATATATCAACTATATGGTCCTCAATCGAGCAAACATCTACGAAATCATTCATTTCTGAATGTTCAACAATAACTCTGTTTTATCTCTTGGAGCGCACGAAAGGAAATTCCTATTATGTTCGTGGAACATCGTGCGTACCTAGGGAGGACTTTTAAGCCATTTCAAAACTATTTTTTTCATCAAGCTGAGCATATGTTTTTTGACGTTTGTCGAAAAAAATTTGTTTGCAACTCGAGCGCGAAATACTTTGGTCATCTCGACTATTTTTTTAACTCGGCTACGCCTCGTTAAAAAAATCAGATCTCGATCACCAAAGTAGCATTTCGCGCTCTAGATACAAAAATAACTATTTTGTGATTAATTAGACGATGAATGGAAGGCTATCTATTTTTTTCATTGATTTCTTCAATGCACTTCAGGGGTTTTAAGGATACCTTTTATTCCCTATTTTCGGGGAAAACAGTGGTGCCTTAAAAAAGTAAATTTCTTCTACTATCACATATTTCCTCTCATTTCCTTATAGTTTTTAATTTTTAAATTCCTTTCTGTCAGTTTTCTCCTGTTTACACATGTAAACATTTTTATCCTTTCCATTTTCTCCCACTTTCACTGATCCCCACTTTTCTAAGAAGTGTAGGGTGTATTTTTTCAGAGGAAACTACTTATTTTCTTCAATTTCTTCCAGTCCCTTTCATTTCCCAATTTTCCCATTCATATCGTTCATCACCTATTTTTCATTTCTTTCAGATATCTTTCGATTTCCATCCAGTTTGTTTGATTGTTTCCTTCAATGATAAAATTTCTTTTTTCTACAAACGTCAAAAAATTGCAGTGGTGCAGAATTCAGATTCTTGATCACCCGGTATATGTCCCAATTAAATATCAGTAGATAGTTAATCAAAAGTTGAGATAGGGACATGTAAGCCGTTTTGACCAATAATGAATAGTTTCGACAAAAAAAATTCCTAAAGTTGAAAAATGTCGATTTTTCACACCCTATATCTCTGTTATCATTTCCGCTAGACCCCAAGTGTGATACATCGATGAAATCAGCTCTTCAGAGAGAATCTGAAAATGCGATAAAATACAGGGTGTTTCATTTAAAATAACAAAGTTGTTGCTATTTTTCGATAGAAGCGGCAACGCCGCAGAGCTGAAAATATTTTAGATCGATAGGTCAAGAGCAATTGAGTAACCAAATTTTCAGAATGATCTTATGTCCCGTTCTCCGTAAACGTCTAAGGTGGCATCTACCGTGACCCACCCTGTATATGAGATATTTATATTTCAACATCACAACAACAAAGCAAAATCCACGAAATCATTTATTACTGAATGTTCAATAAATAACTTCGTTGTATCTCTTGGAGCGCACGAAAGGAAATTCCTATTATGTTCGTGCAACTTCGTGCGTACCTAGGGAGGATAGAGGGAGGCCATTAGAGCCTGTTCAACACTATTTTCTATATCAAGCTGAGCATATCTCCACTTTAGAACTATATTTTTTGAGGTTTGTAGAAAAAATGTTGTTTGCAACTCGAGCGCGAAATACTTTGGTGATCGAGATCTGATTTTTTTAACGAGGCGTAGCCGAGTTGAAAAAATAGTCGAGCATTTCGCGCTCTAGATACAAAAATAACTATTGTATCCTCTCATTTCCTTGTATTTTCTAGAATTTCCGAGCGAATTTCCTCTATTTCCAATTAATTTTCTATGAAGTTTATTTTTCTGTTCATTTCCATATCACTTTATTTTCTCTTATTTTCTTCTGTCTCCTATTTTATTCCTTTAATTCCCATTATTTTCCTATTTGTACGAGTATTTACTTCAATCATACAATTCCTTTCACCTCCTCTTATTTCCTTTCATTTTCAATCGTTTTTCTTTTTCATTTCCTATCAATTCCATATTTATACACCGCCCCCCCTCTCTATATCTGAGTTATTAGTCGTGCGATTCTTGCCAAATTTGGACTACACAGTATGAATAACCATCATAACCACATGATCAGTTATTTAGGGATAAATTTCATTATGGACAGTGCCGTGCATTTTTATTGAAACAAAAATGGGTCGAATTTTCACGAAATCATATTAGGAATTTTTTTTCGTCGTTTTTTTCTGCAGGTAAACTCCACAATATTATCCTTCATGCTTTCAAACCCCCACATGTAAATTTTCATGAATTTTCTATTGAGGCTTGGAAAAAACCAGGCACATCTAGACACTACTTGTGCGAACGTGAATGATCATTTACTCTGAAATGTTGAGTTCATCAAAAATAAGTATATCTTGTATTGTCTTTCAAACCACAACTTTCTAACTATCGTAGCTATTGAACCTTCCGAAATTCGCAGTTAATTTGAATTCATTACTATGTTGGGGCAGAAAATAGAAGAAAAAAATCAAGTCAATGCCAGTTATTCGAATGGGGTGAATTTTTGCATATGGAGGTTGTAAAGATTGAGGTACGATACTATAAAGTTGATTTTTCTGCAAGAGAATTTCTAATATGATTTCATAAAAAATCGACCCCCTTTTATTTCAATAAAAACGCACGGTATAATGATGTTTGTCTATTTAAAAAGTGATCATATTGATGTTTATTTATACCAGTCCAAATTTGGTGAGAATCGCACGACTTATAACTGAGATATACGGGTGTTTCCGAAATTGGGGCGATCGATGAAATGGATGACAGGAGACGAAGAAACGAAACGAAATGAAAGAAAAAATGTTTCATAAAAAAAATTGTGAGATATTGTACAACAAAGTATGAGTAAAATGTTTGTAAATCATTGATCAGAGGTTAATAGCCCAACCCAAGTGTTTGCTTTCGGCGATAATTCAAGCATCGGAAGTATCAATGACTTGCAATGTTGCCGGACTATCAATAATAGTTGAAAATTGTAGTATGGTGGGAGCGCACATTTGAAAACAAATCAGAACATTTTTTTCTTGTGATTTATCGTCTCATTATGTCTCATAGAACACCCTTTTGGTCCTTCGAGCCGGATGGACGACAATGTTTACAAAATCCACGTTCCAGTAGCCAATACGTTCAGCTCGTCCTGAAACACTAGTCTCGAAGAAGACATATGTTTACATGTAGAGAGGTGACTGTTTAAAGTGAGAAACGCGTATATTTCGTTTCAAAATTTCCCTAATTTCCAATTTATTTCCTCTATTTCCCGTAAATTTCGTATGATGAGTACTTCACAAAGGTTATGAAAATGCTGAAGCTAATAAAATTTCCTGTTGAATAGACATGTGGACTGTGGAGAGTCATGAACAATTTATCCAATATGGCCCCCATAATCTGTACTGCTCTAAAACTGTATTCCCTCACAGTCTAACAAGGTTGGCACACTTGTTGATATATGTTTTGCCGATTTGTGTATTTTTCCAAAATATGTATAGGTTCCTGAGGAGCAGTGTATCACAAATTCTTCGAGTGTCACCTTATATTTTCTCTTTCAGCTGTCAGCATGGTGTTCGATGATGAAAAAAAAAATGTTATGTTGGTTATTGGTACAAGTTCAAAAAGAATGTCGAATTTCACCTTGTGAGTCATTACTTGTCTTCACCAATTTTGGAAGAAATGATTTGTAACCATAATGTGGCGTAATGCGAGGTGTAATTTATTTGGATTATCAACATTTACAGAGTAACCTATATCCAAGTGATTATTTTCGTTTCAATATACAGGGTGTTTGATTATTATTATGGAAAAATTGGAAGGTTGCAAACAAATTTAAGAATAGCTCGTAACCGTCGTTACCGAGGTACAGGATATCAATATTTGGATAAAAGGACTAAAAGGAGACTGTACATTTTTGAAAACTTGAAAATCGTCAATAATAATTGGAGTGGTCCAATTGCTTCCTTGAGTTATTTATTTTTTTATCCTGACATGTCAAATTTCTCTTCTGTGAAATTTATTTCAAATTCAGATTCAGTGGTCTCCATTTGTTCCACTATCCCGCTACAGGGTGCTTCTAAACATATGATGTAAAAACAAATATTTTCAATGGCATAGTCCAGTGATAAAAAAAAGGTATGTCCGGAATCGCTTTGTTTCCAATATACAGGGCGTTGACCAGACCCTAGCTTATCAACCCATGACGAAATACCGGTTCTTAGGCGGTTTTTGATAATAGAAATATTGTCAAAAGATGCTTTTTTTTCAATTATTATTTATCACAATGTTTCGATTTAAATTATTTTTTCTAAAACGTACGAAGAATACTAAGGACACAGAAAGGTTGTATTGTCAGTTGTTTTATCTAAAAAATAAGAAAATTTCGAAGAGAATTACGAAGAAAATGCTATTTTTGGTGAAAAGGAATCGTAGAAATTTCAAACAGATCGGCCGGAGCAATTTTTAGATCGTAATAAGAAACCGTTTTCAAAAAAACTTCCAACGCCATCTTCCTTTCGATTTTGGACATGAGCTTACATATACAGGGTGAGTCATGAGGAACTGTAGATACTCCTATCACGAATAGAGGCCCCTGACGGGAATACCTAATGTTCA